CCCTAAACCCTAAACCCTAAACCGTAGGCTGAGGATTCACTTGAGAAGCGCCGGAGCAACGCGGGGCGGGGCTGAAGCCGCGCAGGTGGACGCCTGAAAGCCCGAGGGCTTGGGGCCCAGGGTTCAGGGCCAGGGCCTAGGGTTTAGGGTTTAGGGTTTAGGGTTTGCCTGGAGGAGTCGATTCTGCAGGCAAAGCCGAAGTCCACCAACTTGGGACGGCCCGAAGAATCCAAAATGACATTTGAGGCTTGGAGGTCTCTGTGGGCCCAGCCTGCTGCATGCAGGTGTTCGAGGGTTACTGTTATCTGCAGCACAAACCCTAAACCCTAAACACTAAACCCTAAACCCCAAACCCTAAACCCTGAGCCCTAAGCCCTAGGCGCTAGACGCTCCGCGCGGGGGGCCAGGCGCAAGCTGGCGGAACCCTGGGCGCTAAACCCTAAACCCTGAGGGCCCTTCCGGCGGACGCACAGCCAAACCCTAAACCCTAAACCCTAAACCCTAAACCCTAAACCCTCAAGAGGTAGACCGCTTCAGAGTTTGGGGTTTGGAGCTCAGGGTTTAGGTCAGCGCCTAGGGTTACCCTCCACGTCCCACGACAGCTGTCCTCCACGCAGCCCCAAAACCCAAAACCCTAAACCCTAAACCCTAAACCCTAAACCCTACCTCTGCAGCATACCACCGGGCCCGCTCCAGACTTAGGGCCCCCCCAAGTCTTATGTGCTTATAAAGGGGCCCCCCATCAACAAGACTAAAAACGAAATAAAGAAAAGCTCCTTCCCTGAAGCTTTCTTCCCTGTGCACAAACAACGAGGGTTTAGGGTTTAGGGTTTAGGGTTTAGGGTCCGGGGCTTCGGCTGGGGCTGAGGGTTTAGCCGCAAAGCTAGGGTTTACGCAGCAGCAGCAGGAGCCGACATCTGAAACACCCAAAGATTCAGGGTTTAGGGTTCAGGGATTAGGGTTTACAGGGTGTGGCATCTGTGCTGCAAATTAGGGTTTAGCTTGAGGGCCTCCAAACACTTTCTTTCCCCCCAAAGATGCTCCGCCTGCTTCGCCGACTTTATCGAGCTGAGGGGGACTTCTTTCACTGCAAAGTAGTTGTTGTTGTTGCTGCTGTTGCTGCTGCAGCTGCTGCTGCTGCTGTTGCTGCAAGTGATAGGACCAGCGCCGCTGGAACTGTCGGCGTCGTCGGTGCCCCGCTGTTGCTGCTGCTGCTGTTGCTGCTGCTCCTGCCGCTGCTGCTGCTGCTGCTGTTGCTGCTGCTGCTGCTGCTGCACTAGCCACACTGTCGACTTGCTGCAGGAAGCAAGGGCCTCCACTTTCCTGTACCCTCGGACGAGGGTACCGGGGCCCCCAGCAGTAGGGCAGCGCAGGGGGACTCCCCTGGCCGCGAGGGTATCCATCGGGCCCCTAGGGTTCAGGGTTTAGGGTTTAGGGTTTAGGGGTTAGGGTTTGGGGTTTAGGGTTTGGAGTTCACGTCCAGGTCCAGGCTCGAGGGTCGAGGGTTTAGGGTTTAGAGCTCGTGCTCTAGCAAGTCGAAGGTTTAGAGACTAGGGTCTAGGGTCTAGGAATTGACCCTGAGGTCTGGGGTTCAGTGTCTAGGGTTTGAAATTTAGGGTTTACGGTTTAGGGTTTAGGGTTTAGGCCGTGGCTGGAAGGTTCTGCTGCAGCAGCGGCCAGCGAGCAACAGAAGATGCCCAGGGGGCCCCCGAGAAGAAAGTTGAAGAAGAAGAAGAACTGCATTAAATGAATTATTCAATTTAAATTAATTTAATTTAATTTAATTAATTTATTTTAATTTATTTTATTTTAATTCATCGATTTAAATTCGGAAGACACGGCCTCAATGCTTGCTGCGCAGCAGATCAACCAGAGCCCCGAGACGATGCTCAGTGCGCTCTAAACCCTAAACCCTAAACCCTAAACCCTAAACCCTAGCTTCTAGACTTGAACCCTAAACCCTAACTCCGGTAGTCTAACCTTAAACCCCAAACCTTACGCCCTAGCCTCCAGCTAAACCCTTGTTAGAAGTGTACAAGAGCCTAGGTTTATAGGGAGGCCCTCGAGGGCTTAGGGTTTAGGGTTTAGGGTTAAGAAGGCTCAATCACTTTGCCGAAACAACTCGAATGCAGATCTACTCAGCCACGGAACGCCGGCCTGCAGCCCTAAACCCTGAAGCCTAGAAGCTACACCCTAAACCCTAAACCCTAAACTCTAAACCCTAGTTTGCCGAGCCAAACTAACAAGCTAGTAAGGGCCCCCAAACCCTTATAAAGCCATGAACTCTTAAACTATCTAGAGGGCCCCAGGGGCCCACCAAACCCTTCCTAGGGGCCCCTAAAAGGTTCTAGGGGGGCCCCTAGGGGCCCCCAGGCCTTCATTTGTCACATTTCTAGGGTTTAGGGTTTAGGTTTTAGGGTTTAGAAGTGCGTGCGGGCCCCCAAAAGGGGCCCTAAAGAGCAACTTCTTTTCGCTTCTTTGAGCTCAGGCTCACGGGGGCCCCCTCTAGCTTTCTTTTTTCTTTTTTCTGCTTTGAAGTACCCTTTTTTCC